CCTCTTGAGGAGCACATCTTTTATATTCATTCACAGCCCCTCATCAGTCACTCGCATAACTCACAGGCATAAAGGGCCAAACTGAACTGCATTCAATAAAATGCTCCAGGCTTGGAATTGACAGATAAAGGACCAGGCTAAATTTAATTTCTGTATACTATGTCATTTTTTTCTTTCTTCTTCCTTTTGCTTTGTTTTTGGGAAGGGGTAGGAGCTATTTTTAAAGGTTGTTAATTAATAGAATAAAGAGAATTTGAAGGAGATTGTTTACTTGATGTAATCAGCTATTTCTCTGTAAAGTCAAAATGATCTATTTTGATATTTTAGATGAAATATGGAATATTTCCCCATATTCCATATTGGGGATTTTCCCCCCAGTAGTTAACTATTATAGTAGGTTTGTTAAAAATAACTGGCTGATTTTGCCTAACTTGAGTGAAGAGAGATTTAGATCCCACTTAAATTACTACTTTTTAAACAAAAAAATCTATTTTGAATAGCAAAAGTTAAGGACATGCCAAGTGTACACACTGCTTTCTATGCCACCTTGCCATCAAAGTTTTCCTTCCTTCCAAAAATCTCTGGGCACTTTTAAGCGGTCACTTTTCTCCTCATGGTGAGTACATTATTTGAATTAGGTAGCACAGATTTTTATCTCCAAGTTCAGGTAAGGAAATTGAGATCTACTAACAACAATCTAGCAACACTATAAATGGTTGAGCAACAGACCATGTGCATTTCCTCCTGTGATGAGCTGAATGGACACAACCTCACCTGTGTGATGTTCTTGGCAGAAATCAGTCTGAATCCAGTCCTGAGGAAAACAATTAGACAAATCCAGATTGCGAGACATTCCATGAGACAGCTATCCTGGACTGTTCAAAAAAAAATGCCAAGATCATGAAAGAAAAACTATAGTAGACAGCTGCAAATTAAAGGAGGTGAAAGAGGCGGAACAACTGAATGCAATGCCTAATCCTTAATTGGGTCCTGGTTGAAAACAAAGATGATTACAGCTGAAATGAATATATTTTTGGATCGTTAGGAAAATTTGTTTTATACCAGTGTTAAATTCCTGGGATGTGATAATGTTGTAGTTATGTCTGAGAAGAGGTTCTTAGGTGGTGCATGCTAAATAACTCCTTCACCTTGTCTATGTTTATAGCAAGAGGTATCTGCGTGAATAAATCTCACACATAATAATGCTGAGTAAAAGAAGCCAGAGATGCACAAACATATATATTCACAAATGTATTGTGTATCCCATTCATATAAAATTTAAAAATATGCAAAACTACAATGTTGAAGGATTCATGTTTAGGTAGTAAAACTATTAAAGTAAAAAGTGAAGGAGTGATTTCCATGAAAATAAGGATTGCGGTTCCTTTTTGTGGGGAGGAAATGAGAGCGATTAGGACATTACAAAGAGGTCTAGGGTGTGAATAGTGTTCTATTTCTTGACCTAGGTATGAGTTTTATACCAGTCTTACCTTCAGAATAAGTCAGTGAACTGTATGTAGATTTTTCTGTGTGTTCTTTTCTGTATTTGTGTTATAATTCACATATAATTATTTTAAAGTTTGCAAAGTTTAAAAAAGAAAGTCAAGCAATGTGGCTGAGTTAGAAATATGCAATTCGTCTGATTCCTGGTCCAGTATCCCATTTTAAGACCCTATTGCTTCCCCCACTCTTTTTTTTTTTTTTTTTTTTTTGAGACAGAGTCTCACTCTACTACCCTGAGTAGAGTGCCGTGGCATCAGCCTAGCTCACAGCAACCTCAAACTCCTGGGCTCAAGCGATCCTCCTGCCTCAGCCTCCCGAGTAGCTGGGACTACAGGCATGCGCCACCATGCCCGGCTAATTTTTTCTATTTTTCTATATATTTTTAGTTGTCCAGATAATTTTTCTATTTTTTGCAGGAGACGGGGTCTCGCTCTTGCTCAGGCTGGTCTTGAACTCCTGAGCTCAAACGATCCTCCCGCCTTGGCCTCCCAGAGTGCTAGGATTACAGGCGTGAGCCACCGTGCCCGGCCCCCGCACTCTTTTTTTTTAAACAGCTTTATGGAGATATAATTCATATACCATACAATGTACCCATTTAATGTGTACAGTGAAATGGTTCTTCGTATAGTCACAGATATGTGCCACCATCATTCTCTCCCTTTCTTATCTTAGCTGTGCTGAATGCATGGCTTTATTTCCAGATCTCTGGGCTCCTAGTTTTTGCACAGGACCAGAGGGCCACCGTGCCTGTGTACCCAGAGATTAAGAACACTGTCTCTGGAAGGAGATGGAACTGGAGTCAAATCATAGCTCCATCCCCTACTGTGTGACTGTGGGTAAATTACTTAACTTCCCTAAGCCTCATCTGCACTTTTGGTGAATCCCTACCTGAAAGGACTCAGGTGAGGATCCAGTGTGATAAAGTGTTTAAAATACTTAGTGCTGTGCCTGACACATAGTAAGTACTCAAAAATGGTGGCTGGTTTTGGTATTATTACGGTATTTATTTGTCTGTATGTTTATTATAATTCTTCCTTTGTCTTTTCCTCCTCCAATCCAGGCGTGACCAGGGAGTGTCTGGGGACCAGGTCTCCATCATGGTGGATGGAGTCCAGGTTGCACTACCATCTTACGAGGAGGCTGTGTATGGCAGTTCCGGTCACTGTGTGCCGCCCGCTGACCCCAGAGTGCAGATCGTGCTGTCAGAAGGGTCTGGGCCCAGTGGGAGGAGTGTGCCGAGGGAGCAGCAGCCACAGGACCAGGGAGCCTGCTCCTCTGCAGCTGGAGAGGATGAGGCCCCAGGCCAGTCTGGACTATGTGAAGCCTGGGGCTCTCGGGGCTCGGAGACTGTGATGGTGCATCAGGCAGCCACTTCTTCCTGGGTGGCCGGCTCAGGGAACAGCCGACTGGCACACAAAGACACTGCAGATTCAGAGAATAGTGACATACAAAGCCTTTTATCCCTCACTTCAGAGGAGTACACAGATGGTAGGTGGTCTGAGCTGAACTTGAATTGTTAGCTGCATGCGGTCCTTGCTGGGAGGGAGGAAGTACTGAGCCTCTCTAATAATTGGTGTATTTTCAGCAAAGAAAGATAATACCTGGGGTATTAGCCTACAAAATGGGATTTTACCCTCTGAGTACCAGGTAGGGCTTTGGGGTCTCTATAGAGAGACTTTTCACTATTGTCTATGAATTCTTATGGTTTGGAGTCTCTCATGGTCACAGGGCTGTACTAAATCAAAAGGTAGACAGCTGGTTGAAGGTGGGGTTGGGGTCTGTCCTCTTGTTATAATTTTTATGTTCCTGAAAGGTCAGGAGTAACAAAGAGGCATGGGGTTGTATTACAGAGAAACAAGAGCCTTTCTCTCTCCCAGGCAGACAGCTGCTTCGTTCTAAACAGAAGTATGCCAGGTACTGTGCTAGTTTTCTTGCACTGTCTCAGTTAAACCTCACAATAGTCCTGAGATGTAGGTATTCATTACTATCCCCATTTTATAGGTGAGGGAACTGGGGCTCAGAGAAGGTATGTAACTTGGCCCACTGGTAAACTGCTGAGCTGGGATTTGAAGCCAGATGAGTCTGGCTCCAAAACCTGCTTCCTTCCACGTGATTCCAGCATATTTGTGGCAAACAAGCCATAGAATGAAATTACTGCCTTCTGGTGTTTCTGCCTTTCCTGGAGCCCAATTTATCCTTGGGCTTGAGTCTGTCACTTTAAAAAATATCTTTAAGTGACATCCCAGTGTAGTTGAGGATGCAAACTAAACCTAGATGTGCCTTTCGGTAGTGAGGACTTCTGTACTCATAAAGGTTCCCTAAAAGAGCCTTGGAGGAAACTGTATGCTTCCTGGGTATCCTGGGCATGGTAAATGCCTGAGGTTTAGAATGTCTGAAAGCAAACAGACTGTGTTTGTGGTGCTTCCTGGTTATCAACAGCTTGCTGCCTTTTTTCTTGGTTGGCTAGCGAGCTTGAATGTGGAAGCCAGTGACCCGTGGACAGTCAGCCACACACATTGTGAGACATGTCTAAGTGCACGTTGCACCCCTTATCCTCCCAAGGAGCGGAGATGGGGCCCTGTTCTTCCTTCTCTTCCTCGATGCCTCGCTTTGTTCCATGTACTGAACAAGCATTTTTGAGAGCCCATCTTGTGCCTGGATTAGGTTTTAGGGTTGATACAGAGAAATATGAAACATGCTCCCTGCCTTTGTGGAGTGTCAGTCATTTGGGAAGATAGTGGGACCTGTACTTGAGAAATAATGGTACCAAGAATTATGGGATCTTTGTCAGAATGAATGAGGGGTTTGGAAAAGAAAACACAGGTCAGTGAGTTTGCTGCAGGCCACGCCTGAGCTGTTTGGGACTGATAATACCATAGGAAGTCGGGAGTTTGAGGTCCATTGACATATGAGGAAACTGAAACCCAGAGAGGGGAAGTGATTTATCGGAGGCCACACAACTGGTAGACGGCTTTAGGAGGTGGTGAGACTTAAGCAGGGCCTTGTAGCCTCAGAGCGTGGGCTTAGCAGGGCTAAGGCAGAAGAGGGTTCATGGTGGTGGTTTGAAAATCAAACTGAACATCCAGATTTTATCACATAGGCAGTGGGAGAGATAGCCAAAAAGGCCTAAAAAAGAGGCAGGGAATTTTTGCCTGCCTAGATATATATGAGGGGGCATTTTATTTCTTTAAATTAGGGGCTCTGTGGGGGGGAGCCCCTGCAGGGGTATCAGGAGCAATATGAAGAGACCCACATGGGGTAACCACTGTACTTTCCTTCCCTGTCTTCCTGCAGATATTCCACTGTTGAAAGAAGCATGAGAGCTGCAGCCGGCCTCTCCTCTCTGTGAGGGTCCTCTGCCCTTCTCCCTCTCCCTGTGGGTTTGAGCACCCTGTACTCTCCAGCCAGCCTGCCCGGGTACCTGAGCTGCCACCTGTGTATCTGTGTATCTCTGAGGGCCCGCAGGCCCACCTCATTGGAAACTCAAGGAAGAGTCTCGCCATCTGCCTGCTGGACAGCTGGAGGAGCTGGCTCTTTGCCTGGCCCAGCCTTCCCATCTGTCGGGGACATATTTGAATGTGCTGGATCGAGCCCTCCCTTTTCCTAAGCCTCTGGGTCCCCTCCAGCCAGCTCTTTGGCGGCAACCCCATGGCTTGCATGGGCTGATGCTGCCATGTTTACTTGTGCCTTCCCCACCCTGCCCAGTTTTCCCTGTTGTGTTGCTGTCCACAGCCTTCGTGGCTACACTGCTGCCCCCTGCCACACAGGGGCCCGGCCTGGGTCTGGCCTGTTTCCTTTGAGGGCTGTCACCGCTGCCATTTGCAGGAGCAGATCCAAGAGTGAGAGCTCTTGAGTCAGGATGGGCTCTAATTGGGGTGAGAGTGTGGGTCCTTGGGCTTGCCCCGGGGTGACACCAGTGGCACGTTTCCTGGGCTGAGGATAGAGGATTTGGAAAATTACGCCAAAGCTGCCCCAGCACCTGGCCGCCTGGCTCAGAGGTGCAGGCTCCTGGCCCTGTTGAGCTGAGAGTCTCCAAGATGCGTGCAGAAGACCCTGCGGGAGGGAAGGCAGGTGGCTGATGATGATTGTCTTCCTAATATGCAAGTTCTCACTTCCTGCTTCCAGCATTGGCCTTCCTGGCCTTGGTTTTTTTCTGTTTCCCTGGAGCGGAAGAGGAAGTTTCATGCTGTCTCCTGGGTTCTATCCCAGACAGCTCTGGCTTCCCTGCTGCTCACAGGGGCCCCGGGGCAGGAGAGTTGCTGCGATGCCATGGAGTGCCCATCTGGTCACTGGCAGTCTGGGCAGCTTGCCCCTATCTGGGTTTGTGGTGACGGAGGGGAGGCTGAGAGGCACAGACCGAGTCCCCGGGCGGCTGCAGGCAGCTCCAGCCCGGTCCTGAGGATCCTCCCCACCACGGTCACGTGCCTTAGTAACTGTGCCCAGGAAGTGGCCCGCTGCTTGCTGCGCTGCTGCTTTTCCTACTTTCCTGCCCTTCTCTGCCACCCCTCCGCATGCCTCAGCTCACAGGCGACTCCTCCTCTTCCCTGGCACCCTGGGGGAAGGGCTGAGAAACAGTCCATGTGCACCTCCGACCTTGCTGGCCTGCAGTGGGGGGAGGGGCGTGGAGCAGCCTGGGGTGCAGGGCCCTTGGAGGAGGAGCCCTGGCCATGAGGGGGTGCTCCCGCTTAGCCACGTGTTGAGTGCTAACAAGCTTGGGTGTACCATCTCCACCAGGCTGCTATCTTCAAAAGATAGATGTGGCATTAAGGAATGTTTGTTTTTGTTTTTTTTTTTCCTGAAGCACTGGGGCTAGGAAACTTCAAAACTGACTCTGTGCATGTCTGCTCCTCCCCCGAGCCTCTCTGCTTGGGGTGGTAAAAATAATAAAAAGCTCAGTGTATTTTCGGTCCCTCACCGAGCAGGCTTAGCTCCAGGCGTGGGTGGCCGGAAGGTGAGGGGAACAGCATCCTCCCAGCCGCTGCCCTCACCTCCTGCCTCCACCATCACACACGCACTTTACCGCAGGTCGTCCCCTGGCCTCTTGCCGCACATAGTCTTCCTTCCTCCTCTCAGGGTAAGGGCAGTGCCTGCTGTGCCTGTTGGCCGCCCCCCGCCCCGCGCCCCCAGGAGCCCTCGTCTGCTGTGCCCAAAGCCTAGGCAAGCATGGTTAGGTAGGGAACAGGTTGGAGAAGGGAGATGAGACTGGTTAGGGAGGGGGGTCCCTGATGGCCCCCCACCTTGCCACATGGGCTGGCCTTCAGCCATAGTGGTGGCCTTGTCTTCCTCCAGAAAAGAAGGCAGGGGCAGATGGGGTGAGGGGAAAGAATCTACAGGCTCACTGCCGAGCCTTCAGCTTCGATCTTCCACTCTTCCAAAACCTGAATTCTGTTCTAGAGTATTTTTTAAAATGGAAGATCTTACCCTTTTCTACCTTGCTACTCTGGGCTTTTTCACCCTAAGAGATTGCACTTTTTGTTTTGGGTTTATTCAGCCAAGCTGGTGACCAGCTTGGCCTTTGGTAAAATGAAAAGCCTGCCTTCTCCCAAAGCCTCCTTCCATCTCGCCCTCCATTAACACTGCTCTGGGAATCACAAGCCCAGGCTTGCCCACTTGGTAGGAGAGTAAGAAATCAGAACAAGGGGAGCCTTAGCTTCCCTCCACTCCCTCCTGTCACTGGCTTTGGTGAGGCCTACTTCCCGGAGGCTCCTAGGCCTGTCGGTGCGGGAGCTAATTCTTGGGTTGCTGGTGGAGTCTACGACAGCTTCTTCCCCCAGTTATTTCTCTTTTTCCCCAAGCAGTTTCTTAACCATCAGCCACGTGCTGCTGTTTCTAGGGCTTCTGGGCTTTGTTGCTTGCAGAGGGATTAGAGACTCCACAGGTGCCTTGAGGTGGGGGCCTGGCGGAGAGACCAGGGCTGGTGTCAGACGGCAGGCTGTTAGGAGGGAGGCTGCTGGAGGAGCCCAGAGAAAGTGGGGAGAAACTGTGGCCACAGCCCTGCTTTCCTGGGATCACCTCTGGGGGAGTCCAGCAGAAGGCTGGTCCAGAAGAAATGGTCAGCACCAAAGGACTTTTAAAAGGGTGGTGGTTTTTTTTCTTTTTCTTTTGCACATTTGAGCTGACTCATTGCAGGTTTTATATCCTGGCGACTTGTAGTCACATTATAGTGACTTTCAAGGGCCAGAACATGGTGAAAATCACTTACAATTTCCGTCCCCTCCATGCCTTGGTTTAGCATGTTGGCTCTGTCTGTCACCATTTCTGTGTTTTGTGTGCTGTGTTCCCATTTCACTGGGTGTAACTGTGAAATGGGCTAGTCCTGGCCACTTTGGTTTTATAAGGCATTTCCATGTACATTTTACAAGCACTCCATTTGCAAACAGAACTTAAACTAACATTGTCTTCCCCATTCATCTTGCCCTCCCCCTCCCACCCCCCCGCTTTAAAGCTCTTGCAGAAGCCTGAAGGCGAGACAGACAAGGGTATACTTTTCCTGCTTCATTGGTGGTGGCACGGGACGGATGCCCTCCCTCCTAGTCCCAGCTGAGCTCTCAAACCACTTGCTTCCCACATAACAGTGTCGCCTCCATTTCCGGGGAACATCCTTACGTAGAGAATGGAATATGCTGCAAACATTTCTACATCCTTCCCCCCCCCTCCTCAAAGAGAAAAAGGCCTAGAAGGGAAGTGGCACGCAGGCTTCACAGCTTAATTCCAGATGTGCTTGCTGAGGACAGTGAGGCTGGGATCGTCTCTCGTGGGGCCTGCCAGGTCTCTTAGCATAGGGACGGTCATCACTGGTGCCCCAAGGAGGGGCTTGGAGAATATTTTGCTTGGCAGATGTTTGGTCCGAGTGGTGCATTTGCTGGTTCGCTGGCGAGGGAAAGGTGGCAGGCCCAGCTTTGCTGGGAAGTGATTCTTAATTTCCACTTGAAAACCTAGTAGAATTTTGAACAAAAACCCCAAGGTTGAGCCCTCTGCCAAGCAGCAGAGCTAGCTGGAGAGGACACAGGGGCAGAGCACTCGGATTGCCAAGCAGGGAGGAGAGATGGACGCAGATCGTGTGACAGCCCCTGCACCCTGCCCTGGCTTCTTCAGGTTACTGCACCACTATGGAATCCTTTGTAGAATGGTACACACATAATGGTTTAAAACAACACATGAGTAATTGACCCTGTGCAGGATGTCACTCAATCAGTTTGGATTTGCTTTATTTTATTTCATATATATATTTTTTGGTATCCTGTACATTGCAGTGGGTGTGAAGATAGTATTTTAATATTTGTACAAAGTTTAATTTAATTTTAATTGTTCTATGTATATAACTGCATTTCTAAATAATAATTAAAAAAACATTCTTATGAAGGCAATTGTGGCAGATGTGATCCTTTCAGAAAGTTTTCGCAGAAACCCTAGATGGAAAAGAATGTATGTGGGTAGGAGCTTGTGATGGGTGAGACACTAACTCTGGTGGGCGGGGCCTGGCAAGACATGAGGGAGACTGACAGGGAGGGGGCCTGTGGTATGAGAAAGAAGGACCACAAACATAGGTGGAAATCATTGCCGCCTCTGTTCAAGTGCTCTTAGTGTGCAAACCACTGTGCTGAAGCTGGGACTCAGCAGCAAACAAGACGTGTGGTTTGGACCTGCATGGAATTTTGGAGATGCTAGGAAGGCAGACAGCGGCAGAAGTGTGCAGTAATTGTTAGGATCAGGGATGCTTAAGGTCTGATGGGGGCGGTCAGAGAATGTCTCTTGGATGAAAAGGCACTTGAGATGGGAAGACTAGTATAGCGAGACCAAGGGGCAGGACACTTCCTGTGCAGAGAGCACATTCTGTTTAAGAAACAAGAAGGGTCTGGGGTCGCACAGCAGGGCTGAGGGAGGAGTGGCCAAGGATGAGCCACAGGAGGTGGGCAGCGACCAGATTGTGGTGGCCCCCACCAGCCACATTGACAAGTTTGCACTTCATCCTAAGGGCAATAGGAAGCACCTTAACAATTTTAAGTAACAGGGATTTAGTAAGATCCGCATTTTCTTTTTTTGGGAGCTCTCTCCATCTGCTTATGAAGAATGGGTTTTGGGACATAAAATATACTATACCTGAAAACCATGTGAGAAGTCACTGGTCTTGTCTGAGACAGTGATGGTTTCTACTAGGGTAATGGCAGCAGGGATGGAGAGAAGTTGGTGGATTCGGGAGATATAAGAAGGTGGAATCAACAGGGCTTGGTGGCTGGCTGGATGTGGGAAAGAAAAAGGCGTCAAGACTACCCAGCCTCTTGACTCCAGCAGTGGGTGAGTAGCAACACCTTTCTCTGAGATGGGGAAGTGAAGGGACAGTTTGGGGAGAGGAGAAGTGATGGGCTCAGTTTGGCACATGCTGAGTTGGAGGTGTCTGACATCCATGTGGAGATGTCCACCAGGCAGGCGGGTATTGACACCTAGAGCCCAGAAGAGAGACCTAGCAGACACCGAGCAGATGAGAACCTGTTTGAGGGAGAAGAGAAGGCAGGAAGGACAAACACTGCTAAGGAGGTTTAAACCATTTAACCTATTGGGTTTAGACGTATTCAGCAGAGTGGTGGGAACATTCCAGATTGGAGAGGCTTGAAGCAGAGGTGAGGAAGGTAAGCCATGAGTAAAGGGAGGAAAGAAAGAAGAGGTTGAAAGAGGACTGCTTATTATTGTTCTTAATGGGGAGGTTTGAACACATCTAAATGCCAGTGTCAATGAGAGAAGTTAGAAATGGGCGTAGTGGTGACTGGGGACAGGATCCTTCTCCCTCAAAGACAGGACTCTGGAGCCAGGCTGCCCAGCTTCGTTTACAAGCTGCAGGGTCTTGAGCAAGTCATTTGACTTCTAGGCCTCGGTATGCTCATTTGTAAAATGGAAGTGATAGTACCTTAAAACGTGCCACGCTCTGTTCTGAGTGACTTGATTTAATCCTCACTACAGCCAGGCCCTGTGCTCAGGGTGGAGGTTGAAGATGAAAAGCAGAGTATGTGCAGCGTAGAGGTAGCTGTCAGGCGGAAGAGACCAGCAGCGAGCAGCTGCAGCAGGCGTTAAGGGCGTGAGACAGGTACGTACAGGGCACTCTGAAGCTTGCCTCGGGGTCATGGTCAGGATGCGTTTCTCTAATGAGAAAACATTTCTCGTGAGAAAAAATTTAGGGCCATCTGTGTCAACCACCCAACTGCCCAGTCCTGCCCTCAGTAGCACCAGTCCTCGTAGAACCCTACAAACATCGCTGCCATTACTTGGGAGGACGGTGAAGGGAAGAGGCCTACCATTCATTTCCTGAGCACTTCACCAACTTTTAAAAGAATAATGGTAACAATAGCCAGCACTGATTAAGCACTTACTGTGTACCAGGCCTGGCTCTAAGCCCTTTGTGTGCATAAACTCATGGAATCCACAAAGCACCTCTGCAGCTTGGGGGCCTTTATCGCCTGTAGGGCCGCGACACGGCACATAATGCAACGGAGGAGTAAAGAAGCGAAATAACTTGTCCAAGGTGCAGCCAGGATTCAGTTCAAACAGGCAGTTCTGCTGGGGTGACCCCTGCCCATGACATTCCCGCCCCATCCACACAGCCTGCCTCAAGGCCCTCCTCACAAGGCCCTCACGCACCTGCCTGTGCCTTTCAGAGTGTGCTCTAACCATGGAGCTTCAGGTAGAGAAAAATGCTAATTTCAGGGCAGGAAAATGGCATACTTTTCATAGGATAGTTAATTACCCTTATCTCAAAGAATGGGACATGCCTGGGGGTGTTAGGGGAGGAGGCATTTAAGCTATGCAGAGCATGCTAAGTAAGTTCACAAAGACTGCTTGTTGCAGCGATAAGTCTTCCTGTCACTGGAGGACAGGTGCAGACACGTGTTCCATCAGGTAAGAAATGCTGGGCCCCAGTGGAGGCTGCAGAGAGCCTAGGGAGGGGAGACACATCAACGTGGGGTCAGCCGAGGCTTGTTGCCTTCGTCTGGATGACAGATGAAGAGGGACAAAGGTAGCAAAGCCCATAAAACCTGCAGAGCTGCTGAGGAAAGGGCTGCCTTTGAAGTGGTTGCCTCAGGTGTGAACTGTGCGTGGGCGGAGAGAAGAGAAATTTCCTGCCCTGCTGCAGAACCCACCTCCCAGTTTGGAAAGTTGAGACCTCTAGACAACAACAAAGATGGTAACAATCTCTCAAATGGGTCTTTCTCAGACTACTTAAAAGTATCTTTAAATACACAAAAGTAATGCCTATTCATTTCAGATACTCTAGAAAGAAAATTAAAATCTCCCATATACCACTGCCTGCTAATAATGTCGTATATATTTTCAGTCTTTCTTGTATGCCTGTGTGTATTTTCCTCTTACAAAAGATCACTTTTAATAGTATTTTATGTGGTTTTTTTAAACTTCATAATCTTTTGCAATCCTAAAACATTAATTTACGTCATTTTTAACGGCTGCATAGTTTTCCATCATATTGGTAATTTGGACTTTCAGGTTGCCAAGAATTTTTAATTCTTCAGTACTTTGAGAGCATTCTTAATTATTTCCTTAGGATAAATTACTAGAAATGAAGCTGCTGGGTCAAAGGAAATGCATGACATTTTAATGGCTTTTGAGATGTCTCAAATTGCCCACCAAGAAAGTGACTCCAAATTATACTCTTTGGAGAGCATTAGTTTTCCCACAACCTCACCAGCTCTGGGAATTGTCATTTAAAAAATATGGCAGCTGAAAGAAAATAGTGTTTTAATTCACATTTGTTTCATTATTCCTGAAGTTGAATTTTTAAGTACATTTGCTCCCTCTTTGTGACGGAGGCATCTTGAAAATCATGAAGAAGTCCGAGTTTGAGATGAAAAGTCAGAACAGTGATTCCTTCTCCAAATTCAAAATACAGACAGACATACATCATAAAACCTGCAAGCTATAATACCAAGAATAAGGAAGCCATTACCCCTAGGACTTAAGACAGAATTACTCATCACTAACAAAGTTTTCCTAATAGGTTTTCATTCCTAGGTAATGAAGGGAAAACATGTTTTGGACTTGGATGTTTAAGAAAGCATTTGATACCGTCCTAAACATTTTCTTGGGAAAATTAGCTGAGGTTGCCTTGGATTTACAAAAGAAGAGGACTTGGTCACCAAAGCTCATGTGGGTGTGTGTGGGTGGGATGGGGGTGCTTAGAAGGAAACAACAGCAAAGGGAAGTTCAAACTGGCAGAAAGCCACCACGCCGCCAGCGCCGTTAGGGCACTTGGACAGAGCTGGCAGGAGTAGCGCTGTGGATTCTATTCCTGGAGAGGGCCAGGCATCTTGGAGCAAGCGGGAAGAGATAAAGGAGTTGAAATGGCTCCCAAAACACCAAGGGTTTCAGGAAGAAAGACGTGAGGTCTGAGTT